ATGGTTATAATACACGGTGTCATATTCTTCCCACCATACCTTAGTGTTTGATACACTAGGAAGTTCATCTTTTGTCACTTCAAGTACTTTACCCATATGTATCTCAGCTGCAAAGTACGTACCATTTTGACGTGCTTTGTTCTCGGTACCAGCCTTTGAACGTGCAAAATAGATGCCATAACCAAGCATTTGTTTTCCTTCCATGGAGGGACGAAAGTCGGAATGTGCAATGGCAATAGCAAATTCCGGTGATGTTTGATGAAAACCAATGTAAATTGTATCTTCAGGTTTCGCAAGGTTTTTAACTGCTGAATTACGTTGTTGTGGTTTATGATCGCAAAGGTGGAAGATCATTAAATGTTCAAGACGACAATTTGTACATTCATAACTATTAGGACATGGTTCATCGCTCACTGGCATCGAACGATTATAACCCATTAGATGGTAAGATATATAGCGTTTGTGTTTCTTTGACAGAGTACAATGATAACGATCATCGCAAGACGGACGATAGTGCCACCATACCCAATAATGATAATAATCGATTATAAAGCTGAGGACAAGTGCGATAAATGAGAATCCACATAATTCAGCCATCTGCCTTTCAGAGTCGTCAACATTTTGTGCAGTACTGTATAGAATAATGGCTATCAGACGAAAGAGAGCACACAAAAGTAGTAATTCAAAACGAAATTTAAAACGTAATTTTGGTCGTGCTATATAAGATGGGCAATTGCAGTCTAAGGCGATTGTACGATGAACAGGTTTACTGGCTAAGATTTGACATATATCACGAGTTGTCAATTCATCGTCAATAGAACGTACTCGATTTTTACTATCTTTATCACATCGACTCATGCAACGGCATATGAAAAGGAGTAGTATCAGCGCAACAAATATACCCATAAATGTTGGTAGCAGTGAACTTATCCAATCGAGAATAAAAGCAGAATGCTCATCCGACAAGAACGTCGCAATATTTAAACCAAAGCTGATCACCTGCATAATTTTTCAATCCTGCGCGGTGGCCGCGCAGTGGCAGAATAAAATTTACCCGTGGTTGAGGGTGAAAACTTCTGCACTGCGCTGTTCAGTGAGTCGACCCTAAGGCGAGGTATTACAATTTTTTCATACTGACCGCTATCAGTCTGTATTATACACTGATAATTATGGATTGTATCACCGATTATGATTCACTATTCTTGTTCTATATTTTTCTCTTTCTGTTATCATTATAGTCTTTTGTCACCTTCTTTCCTTAGAAATGGAAATA